CAATTTTAGGACCCCTGCTGTTTTCAGTTTTCATAAATGACGTGGGTGAGTATCAATAGCAAATTGTCATTAAAATGTGAGTAATCAAAAGATTGTTCGTAATCACTGAAGCCTGTGTTAATATGAAACTTCTGCTAAATATCTACTAGATTCTTTTACTATTGAGAGTTTTTCGCGTTTTTTCGTTTCTTTTATAAGGACTATTTTAATTTTGACCTCATTATATCTATGGCCCAGTGTTGTACATAATTGTAATCTCAGATTCACCATTTAATATTTTAAGTATTCTATTGATGAAAGAAAGCTATATATCTTATAAAAAAAAACAAAGTTTAAGCCCCACCCACCCACCCACCCCTATGTCAAATGTGATGAATTTTTTATTCGTTCTCAGACCGAGGGGTGAAGCATAACTGCAAAATCCATAATTCTCTACAAAATTTTTATCATTTTAAACATGTTTTAAATATTTTGTTATGAAAAGGAGAACGTATATTAAGAAAAAAGAAGCAAAAAATAAGCTCCGCCCACCCGCCCTATCTCAGCTGTGATGATTTTTTTTTATTCGTCGTGAGTCGGGGGTGTAGTTTAATTGCAATCCTCATTTTTCTCCAAAAAATTACCATGTGAAACATGCTCTTAAATAATCATCTTGTTCAAAGCACACTACATATATGTATTAATTAAAAAAAAGTCAAAGATTAAACTCCACCTATAACCATTCCGACCTCAATTGTGATGAATTTTTCATTCGTTTCAGAGCGAGGGGCGGAGCATAATACGATAAGACCTTAAACATATGGACCTTGCAGTTAAGCTCCGCCCTCCGATCTCACAACTAATAAAAATTTCATCACGACTGAGATCGGGGCGGATGGGTGGGGCTTAATTTTTGCCTTTTTTTTCCTTAATATGTGTAGTTTTTTTTTCAACAACACGAAACTTAACACATGTTCCACATATGAAATATGAAGTTGGCAGTTAAGCTCCAATCCCGCCGCACGACGAATAAAAATATTGATCACGATTGAGGTGGGGTGGGTGGGTGGGGCTTAATCTTTGATTTTCTTAGTACATATACATAGTCTTCTTTCAACAATAAAATACTTAAAATATCAAATGGTAAATTTGAGGTTAGAATTATGTTTTAAAAATCGTGTTATCCAAATAGGTGTAGATTAAGAAAAAGAAGCCAATAATTAAGCTTGATGAATTTTTTATTCTATTCAGAGCCAGGGGCGGAGCATAATACAATCATGCCTCAGTTTGCAGTTAAGCTCCACCCCCCGATCTCACAATTAATAAAAAATGTATCACAATTTAGATCAGGGCGGGTGGGCGGGGCTTAATTTTTCCTTTTTTTTTCTTAATAAGTGTAGTTTTCTTTCAACAACACGATACTTAAAACATGATAAGCTTCACTCTCCGCCTCACGACGAATAAAAGTATTAATCACGATTGAAATGGGGTGGGTGGGTGGGGCGTAACCTTTGATTTTCTTAGTAGATACACATAGTCTTGAGGTTAAAATTATGGTTTAAATACCGTGTTGTCGAAAATAGGTGTAGATTCAGAAGAAGAAACCAATAATTAAGCCCCACCCACCCGCCCTTATCTCAGTTGTGATGATTTTTAGATTTTCCGGTTTTTCGATTTTTGAATTTTCCTATTTTTCGATTTATTCAGTTTTCGATGTTTCGATTTTTTCATTGTTCAATTTCTCGATTTTTCTATGCATTTATCGATTTTTTTAATTTTGAATTTTCCAATTTTTCAAATTATTATTTTTCAATTGTTGGGTTTCAGCTTATTTCGATTCCTCAATTTTTCCATTTCTCGATGTCTCAACCTTTCGATTTCTCGATATTTGATGTATCAATTTCAATTTTTAAGTTTTTCGATTTTTCGATTTTTCGATTTTTCGATTTTTCGATTTTTTGACTTTGGGTTTTTTGCGTTTCCAACTTTCCGATTTCCCAATCTTTCATTGTTTAATCAGTTTTGAAATGTATCGATGTTTCGATTCTTCATTTTTCCTATTTTTCAGTTTTTCCAATTTTCTAAATTTCGGATTTTCGATTTGTATATTTTTCGGTTTTTCAATTTTTCGCCTTTTTGATTTTTCAGTTTTTTGATGTTTCGATTTCTCGATATGTCATCTGCCAAAATCAGTCTTATCTTAACAGGGACTAGTTTTCTCAGTAGATATACATAGTGTTCTTTCAACAATAAAACACTTACTTAAAATATCAAATGGCAAATTTGAAGTTAGAATTATGTTTTAAATATCGTGTTGTCGAAAATAGATGTAGAGTAAGAAAAAGAAACCAATAACTAAGCCCCACCCACCCGCCCTTATCTCAGTTGTGATGATTTTATTCGTTGTCAGACCGAGGGCGGAGCTTAATTGCAATTCTCATTTTTCTCCAAGAAATTACCATGTGAAACATGTTCTGAAATGATCGTGTTGTTCTAAGAAAACTATAATAAATAATTTTGATTTATGTTCCCGTGGAGGTGAGTATTACGTAAAGAAGAAAGTCAAAGTTTAAGTCCCACCTAGACCCGCCCCGATCTCAATTGAATTTTTCATTCGTTGTCAGAGCGAGGGACGGAGCATAATACCATGAAGCCTCAAACATATGGACTTTGCAGTTAAGCTCCGCCCCTCGATCTCACAACGAATACAAAATTTATCACGATTGAGATCGGGGCGGGTGGGTGGGGCTTAATTTTTGACTTTTTTTCTTAATATGTGTAGTTTTTTTTTTTCAATAACACGATACTAAAAATGTTCCACATGGTATTTTCTTATAGAGAAATATGAACTTTGCATTTAAGCTCCACTCCCAACTCACGACGAATAAAAGTATTGATCACGATTGAGATGGAGTGGGTGGGTGGGGCGCAACCTTTCATTTTCTCAGTAGATATACATAGTGTTCTTTCAACAATAAAACACTTACTTAAAATATCAAATGACAAATTTGAAGTTAGAATTATGTTTTAAATATCGTGTTGTCGAAAATAGGTGTAGATTAAGAAAAAGAAACCAATAATTGAGCCCCACCCACCCGCTCCTATCTCAGTTGTGATGAATTTTTTATTCGTTGTCAGATCGAGGGGCGGAGCATAATTGCAAAATCCATATTTCTATACAAAAATTTGCCATTTTAAACAAGTTTTATCATTTTTCTCATTTATAAAAAATAAAATTCCAAACAACATCTGATTCATACCATTTTTCCAAATTTTAGAAAAACTTTCTGTGTCTATGACACAATTTAGGGCAGTTTATACAATACTTAACCAATTTTAACCACTTTTTTGGAAAATTTTGAATTCGCTTTGTGTCTTTATTGAACCAGATATCGTGACGGCGATTTCAGAATCGTAACTAGGGGAAGATTACCTATCTACACTTTGAGACCAATTTTCGGTCGATTAAACCAATTTTAACTGGTTTTGACAAAGCCGACTAGTCGGCCGACTATAGTCGGTACATCTCTAGTCTTATCTTATCAGGTACTGGTCCCGCCCACCCGCCCTCTCTTTTCTTGTAGGATATGTCATCTGCCAAAATCAGTCTTATCTTAGCAAGTACTAACCCCGCCCACCCACCCACGCTCTTCTCATTCCAAAGACTAATTTTATTTCTGTTCTGTACAGGATCCACTTTCGAAGCAGATAAAATGAATTACTAAAATGGGAGTGAGGCTGTTAAAAAACAAAAAAAGTGGCTAACCGTAATTTTTTTGTTATACTATTTACTTTAAAATTTATTTCTTATTTAAATGAAAAATGAAAGAACGGGCGGGTGGGCGGGGCTAAATTTAATTTTTTCCTGCAGAGACTTTTATAAGCAAGCAATAACCCCGCCCATCCGCCTCCTCTTCATTCTACTGCCTACTTTTAAGTTGTTCAACTAGCAACTACTAGCCCCACCCACCCACCCTCTATTTCCTTGTAAAATATGTGATTTGCCAAAATTCGTATTATCTTAGCAGGTGGCATCCCCGCCCACCCATCCTCTGTTTTCTTAGAAGGTATGTCATTTGCCAAAATCAGTCTTATTCTAGCATGTATTAGCTCCCCTTACCCGCGTTGTTCTCATTCTAACGGTCTTATTTCTGTTCACTATAAGGTCCAACTTAAATTCAGATCAGACAAAACGAATCACTGAAATGAAGGCGGGGTGGGTGGGCGGGGTTAATATATGTTCATCTGAATCAATTTTAGGACCCCTGCTGTCTTCAGTTTTTATAAATGACGTGGGTGTAAGTATCAATAGCAAATTATCATTAAAACGTGAGTTCAAACCCACCCACCCCTATCTCAGTTGTGATGAATTTTTTATTCGTTGTCAGATCGAGGGGCGGAGCATAATTGCAAAATCCATATTTCTATACAAAAATTTGTCATTTTAAACAAGTTTTATGATTTTTCTCATTTATAAAAAATAAAATTCCAAACAACATCTGATTCATACCATTTTTCCAAATTTTAGAAAAGCTTTATCTGTCTATGCGTGAAAAAAAATGAAAAAGAAATCACAGCCCACGCAAAACCAAAAAATTTTCAGTAATTTTTAAGCCACTCTACATGTTTCATTCTTAGTGTGAAAAAATAATCCCCTGAAAACATCATCTACGTTCAATTTGGATGTATATTTTGTTATTACTATCCATCTACATCCCGCTGAAAGCACTTTTCCATTATCCCCTACCTACATTCAGTATTTTCCTATTATGCGAAGGCCGCAAGTTACTTTCGCTAATTCCCGTACAAAGCAATCGTTTTGTCTAAATGGCACCCTCGATTGTAAGAGCCGAAATAACATTTAGTGCATAATCTTGGATCAACGAACAATCAGGGCCAGACGTGGCGGCGTTCACCCTCGCATTCCACTCCGCCGGCAGCATAGAGTATTTCACTGTTATGTAGCGGGGGGGCTCCAATAAAGCGCCACCATTTATCACTGTTAATTCTCTTCTTCGCAGAAAACATGACCATGGTCACATTCTTCGTTATCTGCATCGCGGCCGTGCTCACCGCCGAGACACAGAGCCTCTTCTTGCCCAAGAGCGTGGCGCAGAACCTGGGGGCCCGGGAGCGCGTCATCGAACCGAAGAAGAGGCCCTTCTGCAACGCTTTCACAGGTAGAGGGGTTTCATAAAGTTTTTCGTTTTTAATTTGAGCGAGTGTCCTATCGATTTGTCTGGTTTTTGTCAGGCTGCGGCCGCAAGCGGTCCAACCTACCACCTCTCCCGGAGCAGCGCGAACTAACCGACGAATCCATAGGGAGCCTTTTAGAATTGAGTGCGGAACCGGCGATCGAGGATCTCTCCAGACAAATCATGTCGGAGGCCAAGCTGTGGGAGGCAATCCAGGAAGCTAACATGGAGTTGAGTCGACGTCGGCAGGAGTCTGCCGAAAGCTCGGAAGAGGACGTTGCTGTTCCTGCTCGCAGCGCCGCAGGTTCCTGCGCTCTACCTCCTTGCTATATTTAATCTCAAACATCTCTCATATTTGAGACATTTAATAAGATTATGTTAGATCGAGACAATGTATGTATTGGCATAAATTATTTTGCGACGAGTGTAACTGATGCTTTTTTGTAAATTTCGATTTTGAATAAAGCCATAACGATATGTATGTCATTTTTGTAAGTAAACGTTTCATCAAACATATCTGGATGTTTTTAATTAATTCAGATGTAGAGATAGTTGTTATGTTAGTTCATTAGAACAATAAAGTGTGTTGCCTCCAACTGGATTACTTTCTGCCTCAAGTGTTCCCATAAACACCATCGCTGTGTTATTAAAGAAAAAACAAATAAACTTAATAAACACAGGGAGCGTTCCAGAGTTTGCAATCTCATTTCTGTAAACACCAATCTGACATGTTTGCAGATATTTTGTATTGATAGTGGATAATAATGACACCCTCATGTATATATGATGAACACGACATGACAAGATAAAAATGATTAACTCCCGTGGGTAAGCAAATAAAACCAATAAACTTGGTTTTTATAGTACAAGTGTGATAAAGTAGATGATGCATAAAATTTGTTCAAGAATGATATGTCTACAAGGAAAAATCAATTTGAGAACAAGGTCAAATTTTTACAATACATATTTCAAAATTTACCATTTTTCATTTCGGCGATTCTGGAGAAATAGTAGAAATTTTAGAATAAAAAAAATCGTGAGAACTTCAGGATGTCGGAATCAACAACAGAAATTCTTTGGTAAGTTTCAACGACGCTCAGAAAAACGTAAAAATTTTCATTCGGAGGAGTATTTAAAAATTCAGGTTTTGGACAAGTTGTCTAAAATTTGTCAAAATATTCCAGGTTCCAGGAGATAGATTTCGGTAAATTGCATGTAAATGTAAAATATTGAGGTCAGAACTATACTGAGTCCAGAGTTATAGATCATGTTTTTCTTCCTGTTCTATAATTATCTATTAAGATCAAAAACTTTAATAAGAGGTTAAACGGTAATTATTTACTTTTATCTTTATTTTTACTTGCCAGAGCAAGCTAAGGGACCGGCTACTTTCATGTTTCCTTGACGTTTCATGACACCTAGAGTACGAAAAAATAAGTCTCCCATTTCCATCTGTCTGTTTGTCTGTTTGTCTGATTGTCATTTGTCCAAATTTTTATTAAACCGAAAACATCCGAAACTAGTGGACCGATTATAATGGTAAATGTTATTTAATGTTTATAAAATAGCGTATTCCTCCATTTAGGATCTATAAATCGGGGTTGAATTTTTAGCTTAAGTATTTTAGATTTTTTGAAAAAAATCAAAATTCTAAATATAACAATTTTTCTGTTTCTGAATTTTTCCATTTTTTAATTGCTCGATTACTCAATTTTTCGATACTTTGGTGTTTGGGTTTTCCAATTTTTCACTTTCTCAATTTTTTAATTTTTGTCATTTCTAAATCTCCAACTTGTCGATTTCTCAATTTTGCGATGTTTGAGTTGGGATTTTTCAGTTTTTCGATTATTCAGCTTTTCTTCCGTTTTTCAATTTTTCACTATTTCAGATTGGGATTTCTCAATATTTCTCGATTTTTTCCTTTGTTGATATTAAATTTTAGATTTTTCAATTTTTCTATATTTCTATTTTTCAGTTACTTATTAAAATTTGAATTTTTAAAATTCAGATTTTTCAGGTTTTTGATGTTTCTATTTCTCAATCTTTGACTTTTCGACTTCTCGGTTTTAGAATTTTTAATTTTTCGGCTGTACAATTTTTCGATTTTTCAGTTTTCTTTTTCTCAATTTATAGAGAACGGTTTTTCGATTTTTCAGTTTTTATTCTGAATTTACAGAGATTTCAATGTTTAGATTTTTTAATTGTTCAATTTCCCGACTTTTCCAATTTTTGAGTTTTTTGATTTTTTCAGTTTTGGGATTTTTCAATTTTTCGATTCTTCAATTTTTCCATTTCTAAATTTTTCGCTTTTTCAATTTTTCAATTTTTGTCATTTCTAAATCTCCAACTTGTCGATTTCTCAATTTTTCGGTGTTTCAATTTTGGGATTTTCCAGTTTTTCGATTATTCAATTTTTCTTCCATTTTGCAATTTTCCACTATTTCGGGTTTGGGATTTCTCAATATTTCTCGATTTTTTACTTTTTCGATATTCAGTTTTAGATTTTTCAATTATTAAAACTCGAATTTTCAAAATTTAGATTTTTTAGGTTTTTGATGTTTCCATTACTCAATATTCGACTTTTTGACCTCTCGGTTTTAGATTTTTCGATTTTTCAATTTTTCGGTTTAAAAAATGTTTGATTTTTTAATTTATCGGTTTTATAATTTTTCGATTTTTTGTTTTTTCGATTTTTCAGTTTTTTTCTGGATTTACAGAGATTAAAATGTTTAGATTTTTTTATTGTTCAGTTTCCCGACTTTTCCAATTTTTAATTTTTTTTCTATTTTTCAATATTTCAATATTTCTTGATTTTTTTACTTTTGAGATATTAAATTTTAGATTTCTCAATTTTTCGATACTTACATTTTTCAATTTTTAAATTTCGAGTTTTTATATTTCAGATTTTTCAGTTTTTTATGTCTCGATTTCTCAATTTTTCGATTTTTCGAATTCTCGGTTTTAGATTTTTCGATTTAAAAAATTTTCGCTTTTCAATTTTTCATTTTTCGGTTTTAAGATTTTTCTATATGCTTTTTGTCGATTTAAAGATTTCGATGTTTAGATTTTTTGATTATTCAATTTCCCGACTTTTCGATTTTTCAATCTTTCGATTTACTACTCGAATTTTTTAATTTTTCGATATTTTAACGTTTCGATTTTTGGATTTTTCATTTTTTCGATTCTTCAATTTTTATATATTTTAACTTCTGAATTCTTTAAATTTAAAATTTTTCGATTCCTGGATTTCTCAATTTTTCAGTTTTCTGATGATAAATTTTTCAATTTTGGACTCCTCGCTTTTAGATTTTTAAAATTTTAAATTTTTAGATTCTCCGGTTTTTCGATTTTTCAATTTTCCTATTTTTCGATTTATTCAGTTTTCGATGTTTCGATTTTTTCATTGTTCAATTTCTCGATTTTTCTATGCATTTATCGGTTTTTTTAATTTTAAACTTTCCAATTTTTCAAATTGTTATTTTTCAATTGTTGGGTTTCAGCTCATTTCGATTCCTCAATTTTTCCATTTCTCGATGTCTCAACCTTTCGATTTCTCGATATTTGATGTATCGATTTCAATTTTTGAGTTTTTCGATTTTTCGATTTTTTGACTTTGGATTGTTTCATCAGATTTGAAATGTATCAATTTCTCGATTCTTTATTTTTCCGATTTTTCCGATTCTTCAGTTTTTCCAATTTTCTAAATTTCGGATTTTCGACTTCGATATTTTTCGGTTTGTTAGTTTTTCGCCTTTTTGATTTTTCAATTTTTCAGTTTTTTGATGTTTCGATTTCAGATCTTCATTTTTCAATTTTTTCTCGATTTTTCAATTTTTTTAATTTTTCAATTTTTAATTTCTCGATTTTTCTGTTTTACAATTTTTTTTCTGGTTTTTCAATTCTTCAATTTTTAAAATTCGAATTTTTATATTTCAGATTTTACAGTTTTTTATGCCTCGATACCAATCTTTCGATTTTTCGACTTCTCGGTTTTAGATTTTTCGAATTTTTAATTTTTCGATTTAAAAAATTTTCTACTTTTCAATTTTTCATTCTTTGGTTCTTCTATTTTCCTATTTTCTTTTTCTCGATTAATAGAGATTTCGATGTTTTTTTTTGTTTACTCAATTTTCCAACTTACCGATTTGTCAGCCTTTCGATTTATTGATTTTTGAATTTTTTAATTTTTCAATATTAACATTTCGATTTTTGGTTTTTGCATTTTTTCGATTCTTCAATTTTTATATATTTTAACTTTGGAATTCTTTAAATTTAAAATTTTTCGATTTTCGGATTTCTCAATTTTTCAGTTTCTGATAAGTTTATCAATTTTTCGACTCCTCGCTTTTAGATTTTTGAAATTTTTAATTTTTAGATTTTCTCGTTTTTCGATTTTTGAATTTTTCTATGTTTCGATTTTTTAATTGTTCAATTTCTCGATTTTGGATTTATCGATTTTTAATTTTAAATTTTCCAATTTTTCAAATTATTATTTTTCAATTTGTGGGTTTCAGTTTATTTCGATTCCTCAATGTTCCCATTTTTCGATTGTTGAGTTTTTCGATTTTTCGAATTGTTGACTTTCGGCTTTTTGCTGTTCCAGTTTTCCGATTTCCCAATTTTTCATTGTTTCATCAGTTTTGCAATGTATCAATTTCTCCATTCTTCATTTTTCCGATTTTTCAGTTTTTCCAATTTTCTAGATTTCGGATTTTCGATTTCTATATTTTTCGGTTTTTCAATTTTTCGCCTTTTTGATTGTTCAATTGTTCAGTTTTTTGATGTTTAGATTTCGCGATTTTTCAATATTTCTGTTTTTCAATTTTTATAATTTTAAAAAATTTTCGACTTCAATTTTTCATTTTTCGATTTTTCGATTTTTCTATTTTCTTTTTCTTGATTTATAGAGATGTCGATATTTTTTTTTGTTTATTCAATTTCCCGACTTATCGATTTTTCAATCTTTCGACTTATTGATTTTGAATTCTTTAAATTTTAAAGTTTTCGATTTCCGGATTTCTCAATTTTTCAGTTTTCTGATGATAGATTTTTCAATTTTTCGACTTCTCGCTGTTAGATTTTTAAAAGTTTTAGATTTTTAGATTTTCCGGTTTTTCAATTTTTTAATTTTTCTATTTTTATAATGTTTCTATCTTTGATTTTTCAATTTTTCATTTTTCGGTTTTATAATTTTCCCACTTTTCAAGTTTTCAATTTTGTTTTCCTCGATTTAAAGAGATTTCGATGTTCAGATTTTTTTATTGTTCAATTTCCAGACTTTACGATCTTTCAGGTGTTCGATTTATGTATCGATTTTTTAATTTTTTAATTTTTCGATTCTTCAGTTTTACCACATTTTAACTTTCCGTTTTTTTAAATTTAAAATTTTTCGATTTCTCTACTTCTCGATTTTTCAGTTCTCGATTTTTCAATTTTTTGATTCTCCATTTTTCCGATTTTTCAGTTTTTGCAATTTT